AAGATCGACGGAAAAAAACAAACCAAAGGAAAAAAAAACTGATCAAATTGGAAGGTAATCGGAGATCGCCTTTTGATAAGATCGTTTTTCGGTTTCCGGAACGAAGGCCAAGAATTTGTTTTAGTGGCCTATTTGAGGAATCTCAAGTTCTTTATCGGCCACTTTAATCCAACCCGGGGAATAGACAGGACTGTGAAGTTTTTTTTAATAGTTTCGCAGTGTGTTTGTAGAAATGTAGTTACTATTGAATTAGTTTAGTAGGCTAGTGCGGTACTGTGCGCGATTTAAGTTTCAACAAAAAGTTGAACAACCGTTTGACGGCTTTTTGTCTATACTACCCATAATTGCATATCAGTCCCATCTTTACTTACTTGGGCAGAATAGTTTCGTCCCACCTCCCGCTCGGCAAACCACACCCCCTCGTTATTACCACTACCCTGACCCCACGCGTCAGCATTATAGGACCTAACTTCGGCCGGAGTCAGAAGGGAGCTGCGCCGTCGCGCTCCAGGTGAGCAATTTTCCCACCCACCGGAATATCAACACGCAACGCAGTTGGTGAATTAGCCAATCGAGACTTGCCCTCAATTTGGTGAGTCCATTATTCCGTGCAGCGAGAGACGATGGTGAAGAGCACTCGGTAAAGCAGAAGCGTGAGTAGAACCGTACAATGTTGTTTGGTTTTACTCCAAATCGGACTGCCTGGGAATCTCAGTCCACCATTTCTGTTCTGAAGCGTGTAAATTGTGTGCTTGACCTGTGATGAGAACAGGTCGCCAAGTGCATTCGCTCCGGTAGAAAGACGGTTTCTGATTAGTTTTCATTCGGTTGGATTTAGTGTTTTCTTTCGAATCCCAAGCACTTAATGTCTACTAGCGCGTTCCAATCCTTTACGTTAGACTGAACTCGCCCTCGAGGTTTTGAGTTTGCCGGGCATCCGAAACGACAAGTGATCCTCTTTGGAGGTGGCGCTTAAGCCATTTGCTTAAAATCCAAGTGACTCACAAATGAGTAAAAGTTAATCACTTAGTTAGTCTCGTTTTCAGTGAACAATGCAACGAACACCTCTGTTTGTCAAACGATGACTGCAGTCAAACTTTCTACGTTTCCCTTACGTAAGCATTTAGATTAGCATTCTATGCCCCTCCTTTTTTACTTTATTTTGATGATGTAGGTGAATGAATAGAAAATATCAGACAAAAAATGATATTGAGGATTGAGTGGTACCAGCTCGTCTCTCTGTTCTCTAGATAATCATAGCGAGTGAGAACTTGATTGGTTGATTATGGTTGAACACTTTGATCAATTTTCAATAATTAACCATTAATAACCAACTAGCATCGTTACACCAAACAAATCTTACATTCAACCTGAATAAAATGTTGTAATTCAAATTGAATTTCATTAACAAATGGCCATGTTATAAGCGCTCAAAACTTGACACTGCTTCATACACCCCATTATAGTCCAAAAAGACGCCATCAATGTTGTGGGATAAAACAGTTCCCAAAAACACTCCCCCAAAGAACCGTTGGGTGTGATGACATCCCAAGTAACATTGCAAGTTTTATCATGGTTTTAAAGCATGCTACAAGTCTAAATCATGGTCTGCAGAACCCTCATAAAACTCCAATTGCTACTTGGGATGGTAACTCGCAGCGAGGTGAGCTGTGAAACTGCGCTTTTGAGGAGCATTCTCACAAAACCGGATGTGCGCTCACACGAATACAAATTGGATTCCGGCCGGAGTACGTTCTGGTAGATGTAATTTCTGTCAAAATCGTCAAAAGCTTATTCCTTGCTTGCCGAACGCATCAAAACGATACAAGCTAATCGCACACTATTACACAAGTTTTGCACTTTTGAGGATGGTTCAGTTTTATTTACAATAAACTAGAGCTCTTATGTAAAAATTTATTGCTGGCGTTGAAAAAGGCCGTGAACAATTACTACTGATTGCAATATTCTAATTCTTCTGATATAGACTGATCACAGTTACTTCGATGAGCTGGATGTTCGACAGAATTTTAAGTACGTGTTTGACAAAGATAACCCACGGACCATGGCGGTGGATCTCACGACGGTAAGTAGAGCTTTTCCATTTCTCTGGACTGTTTTTATTTTTCATTGGTATGAGGTGTATGTATTGAGCTACTAGGAATGCTACGATTTCCACGCTGCAGCGAACAAGTCCGAAGTCGAACCGTCCAACGTGCAACGATGAATGATTGTGCAGCTTTGGCTTGTGTCGTTGGGGATCAACTTCCTGATGGCTGTGTTAGGGGTGAGCACCTTGCGTTAGAAGAAAATGCTTGGGAAATTAGGATATTTCCATGTTTCTTCATTGTTAACTATTTAAACATTTAACATTTAATTGTGTGACAAACTACACAAATCTTATAACACTGGTGAATCGATTGACATCCAAATCATCAAAATCCATTGATTATTGGCCAAGTTATTAGCATTTAAAGTCTAACCAATTTTCGTTACATTTCCCTGAATTGGCACCCTTCACAAAAGACGTACATTTTAACACAACCTATTATCGTCAGGAGGGTAAACAAAGTCCTAGAGCACTCAAATTTGGCCAATAGTTGCTCTGAAAAACAATGTATCCACATGCCAAAATTGAGCTCTTAAGGACGTTGTTCACCCCCTGACGATAATAGGTTAAGGTATTGCCGAAGCCAACTTTTCCCCTATCATAAATTCAGTGATGTATGTTTTTTCGTTTCTGAGCTACAATTTTTCAAAATTGTTTGGTTTTAAGTTTTTGAAGTTTTGCATAATGGTGACTCATGGCAGTTTATGAGCAAACCCTAAATTATTTACTAGATAATGAGTAGTACAAACAAGCAAAGTGTCAGCTTTTGGTTAATGGCATTTTTTAAATTTGCACTCATGAATAAAGAGGTTTTGAGTTTTTTGTATAGATGATTTGATTCCTTGCTTAATTTCCCCGGCCTTATAAAAGGTTTACCATCATGCGACAGCACATCCCAAAATTCGGGCAGCCAACACAAGTAACAGCTCACCACCGTTTTGAGGTGTTCTTGATTGTGACACGAGCAGCAATGCCGCAGGATAACCATCCCACTCATAAATAAAGCGACATTATTTGCCACCTTCTTTACTTTATTTGTTCCATTCTGGGGATGTTTGTAAGCCACTGCAGACAGACGCCGGCACCGCTAAATACAAACGAGGTGTCATGTTGTTGTGTGTCTTTTTCTCTGATGGGTTGAAATTTTATCTTTGTTGCTTTTCAGGTGGTGACTTTTGTCGTCACACTGATGACATTCATTAACGTGGGTAAGAGATCGCAGGGAGGAAGGATGAATTCATACATCTGAAAATATGCCAATATTACGCCACATAAGCACAGTATTAGAATCAATTATTCAAAACAATTACGTCTACAAGTCAATGAATTAGTAATCAGTCCTGGTAAGCCCCTCAGCCACGCCAAAGCCAAACCGATGCCGATAGACAAGCCTTCCACAATCCAACTACAATTCATTTATCATATTAGGCTTCGCGGCTTTCCGCCTCCATTAGCTCTGAGGTTGAGTGGAGTAGAACCATCATCTTCATCATCGGGAATCGTCCTCTCGGCGGTGATTATAGCTGTAGATATGTGGAGAGCACTTGAGCCGAGCAAGAGCCATTCAATCATCATGAATAAGAAAAGTAGTGTCTTTGGGACAAGTCACACCAGTCAGTCGCACAAAACATATTCTCACAGTATGAGTGCGAATACGAGTCTGAGTGAATAATTGAGCAAGAGTGATTGAGTTTCCGAGCCGAAGATCAATGCGCTTTCGTCCGGAATATAGTTTCCTGCTTTCCGATTGCTATAAAGCAGACGTCTTTCTAGTGCAAGCGTTAGGAAAAAATCCTGATTTTATCCACCTACGGTGAGATTTGACTCTTCTTATCCGTGTTGGCAAAATCCAGAACCATCTTAACCACCTGTGGGGCCCCTGGTTTATCTCTTGTTGCGGGGCCCCCTATGATTTGATATCAATTTTCAAATTCTATCACGCATGAAATAAAAACAGGTTATAACCGTGTGTTACAAAGTTTACATGATTTTTAATTAATGCGTAAATGTTAATTGTATACTGTCGCATTTTTTATTAGTTCTTGGTTTTGGTTAGTAGAGTTAGCGGTATTAACTAAGAATTTAATTGATATTGGTTTGTTTGAATAGAACAGCTCAAATTTTGTTTAGTTGTTCAGTTGAAGTGTATAACAGTTAAGTGAGATGAATAACGATGGGTGCAATAACAAGTTAATTCAGGTGGAAAAATGGAGGTGGGATTCTTTCGATTGTAAAATAGGATGGAGGAATGGAAAAGTGCAGGGTGAGAGGTCAGATTGCCCGCAAAAGACCCGCCATTTCTCATAACTATCCTGGCGTTCGTGGGTGAAAGGTGTCATTAAAAGATAAGCTACACACTTAGAAATTATCGCAGACTTCGGTAATTTTTACCGAAATCTGAACAGCTGAACTGTTTGGTAAAATTTATGCAATTCAATTCAATTGCTTTTCAGCTACTTTGAAATTAAATCTCCACTAAAATGACAAGATTTGATCTTTTAAACAAGGGTTAACATTTTTTGAAATTATTTTCAAATTCGATAGCCTTTAAAATGAAGGTCAAAGTTTTACCGAACGTTCAGCTGTTCTGATTTTGGTAAAATTTACCGAAAACGGAAACAAAATCTTAGTGTGTATAGTCGTGAGTGGTATTAGCGAATTCGAGTGTGAGAACTTTATATCCTCCAACTCAATTCAGGACCTTTTGTTTTATCATTTCGGTAGACACCACCATCTTGTCCATTGACATGAACAACCGAAGCACACGTGATTCGACTTAGTAGTCCCCAGTGGCTGCTATGGCTAACAGTCAAGGTTCTTTTCTCCTTCTGACCAAGAGAAATAACTTCGGGAATATTCCTTAATCGCCATGGAGGTCTTCCCCTCTCGCCAGGGTCACTCCGGTTTTTCCTGGACTCTGACGATTCCGATCAATAAGGGACGTCGCCTGGGAGGAACTACGGTGATGCGCCATAGCCATGATGTAATGCTTTCGGGCGGTTACGGGGAGGGCAAGGGCCAAGAGCTCAGGGTAAGGTCTAGTGGGTCGGGAGCGCTACTTGTCCCATCCCCACACCCTGAGTTATCTTCTCAGGTGTCTGGGAGCAGATTTCCCCTGTACAATAATAAAAAAAGACTATTTCCACTCACCGAACTTCGTCCACAGTTGCCACCCATTTCGGCTGGATTCGGGGCTCAGCTAGTCCGTCGTACAACAGCGAGCGCTCACCCATCGTAGAAAAATTCCATGATCACCATCAACTTCAACAGATCCAGCTGCCCAAATAAACCACTCATTTTCATCCACACCATATATTTCAATAAACCAATCCACACCAAAAATAGTTTTCCCAACAAAAAACCATGGGTTTTTTTTTAACCACATTTCTACTATTTTAATTTAACTATTATCAGGTGACAGCATTCTTGCACGTTGCTTGCAAAGCCTCTCCGATTGCCCAGTAGTAAGCACACCTAAGACCCAGCTCGAGGGGTCCCTTGCTACTGAAGCTTTACCGGGAATTACAGTAGAGCGACAAGGTACTTGCGGAAATCTTATTTTGTTTAAATTTCTTTTTCTATCCTACATTTATTTTAACACTCATCTTAACTAAATAAACTAAATCCGTTTACGACTCCTTATATTTGAGAATTTGTGTTAACGGCTCAATGCGTTAATATCAATTTGCATATATTTTTCGAACTCAATATATATTATCAGCAGCCAATTATGTGTGGTTTATAACATCTGTCAGTTCATGTTTGGTTATCTTGAGCAGTTGGTGGTCTTCATTTAAGTAAATATCTTGAGGATTATTTCCATCTTTGGGTAAACCAATTTCCCAAATAGTAATTTTAGTTTTATCACAGCCTTGTTGCCCATGGTTCCAACTTATATAATGCTTTAAAACCATGATAAAACTTGAAAATACTACTTAATTTTTGGATCCTGTCGATATGCCAATAATTAATTTGTACAACTCATTTTCTTCCGTTTTCCAGTTCTGGCTTAATAAAAAACAAATGAGATTACTTTCTAGTCTTGTTACATGCATAGTGCATTGGAAAAGACGCACATTTAGTTCAAAAATTCACCAAACGTAAACATTACAGAAAACTGTTCAATGCCGATAGAAATCTTCACCAACGTGAGTGGTTCGTGATTCAAGGGCTGCCTGAAACGGATTACAAACTTACTATTTCGAAACACTCCGTGGGTTTCCTTTCACCTGGTTGCTCCATTAGACTGATGCAAATTTTGACATTTTCGCTCCACAGTGCTCAAACGGTTCCAAATCGCAAGAGATGAACTAGCCAATGGCTAAAAATCTCTTTAATAAAGAAAAAAAAAAAAAAGGTTCCAAATTGGGTCCTGATTAGTCTCCCAAAATTTGAACTCATGCGATAAGAAACTGACTTGGCACAAGTAATTTGAAGTTTATACGGAAATTACTATGGGAAAACCAAATGTTTTGTTCATATTCATCTAACAATTTATTATATTGATATGCTTTAAAAAAAAATGATAACTGAGCTCGTAACAAATTTTCTCAGCTACAACTTTGTTCCAGACTACTTTTAGATCAAATGTAAGGAACACAAGTTATTAATCAAGTCACTGATGTTTTATGATTATGCTCAATCAACTGATCAGCAGGCAACATTGGTGTTTTTGGCGCTTGGAATAGAGCACAAAAATCATGGCTACTATGTCACACTGCAAGATACAGTGTTGCTCACAAAACAGCTGCTTGATCATACCATAAGATTATCAAGCTCTTAAACAAGTAATAACCATTTTATTTGACGTATTCTGCTAAGTTGAAGCTGAGAAAATTTTCCATAAGTATAGCTTTTGAATTTTTGAACTGTGCAATATGGAAAAAGGTAAGAAGACAATGAACAAAACGTTTGGATTTCCCATAGTAATTTCCATACAAACTTCAAATGGTATGTGCCAAGTCAGTTTCTTATCAAATGAGTTCAAATTTTGGGAGACTAATCAGGACCCGATTTGGAACCGTTTGAGCACTGTGGAGCGAAAATGTCAAAATTTGCATCAGCTACAATCCTCCATCCTCCTCCATGTTCGTTAAATTTATGAAATCACATTTAATGCGGTATTTGTGACGCCAGCGTCTTACGGAAAGGTAGTGGGTAAATTGAAAATCTAAATTTTTTACCCTCACGAAAAGGTGTTAGGATTTCAACGCTTATTACTTTGTCATTTATAGATAAAATAAAAATAAAAATAGACCAACTGTTAGGAAATACCGTTATGAATACGCTGAAAAAATACTTTTCTAAGTTTCGATAACATTTGTTTTTTAATTTACAAAGGGAATTTTGTTTTTTTCCTTGATCTGTTTTCCGTCGATCTTGTTTTCCGTGCTGAGCACCAATGCTACCGACGCCAGGAAGGCAGCTCCCACACCTGGACCCTACCTATCGACCCATCAACTCATGAACCGGGGACCAACGGCTTTACTTCCCGTTCGCAGATATACTGCACGTCGCGTCGTCAGTAGTGTCGGTCGCATCGCGTGATGGGAAGACAGCGCTCTCGGAGCCGACTTCGTGACCAAGCGGAGAAGAAGAACAGTGGTGAGGGTAGCTCGGTACCTACCTCAAATAGGTACGCTACTCTGCCCACCGATGTTGGAAATACCAACCCAGTCCCGGTGAAGCGGACGAAAAAGAGGAAGAAGAACCAAGGACAGTCCGATGGTACGAGCGGACGCGACGATGTTACCGCGACGAACGCCAGCGACATCGGTGATTTCGGCGACGCCGTCGAAACCGAGAATTCTGCCGGCCCGAGTGCGGCGAAAGTCAAGCTTCCTCCACTGGTGGTGAAGGTAGTGCCACTCAAGACGCTCATTAGCGATTTCGCATCGCTGGGCATCGCAGCTGAGTACAAGATCAGCAGGATCGGCACCAAGGTGATACTCCGGACGAAAGCGGAATACGAAATCGCACTCAAATTCCTGAAGGATTCGAATGCGGAATACTTCACGCACGACATCCCCGGTGAAAAGCCCTTCAAGGTAGTCATCAGGGGTCTACCAGATGTTGATCCCAAGGCGATCGAAGAAGAACTCAAGGACCGGTACAAGCTGGCCCCAATCGCTGTCTTTCGGATGACGAGGCGAGACGAAAACGTGAAGACGTACCCGGATTGTCTTTTCCTGGTGCACTTCCAGAAGGGAACGGTGACGCTGAATGCGCTGCAGGCTATCCGCTCAATCTACTCCATAATCGTACGATGGGAGGCATACCGTGGAGGCCATCGCGATGTGACCCAGGTCCAACGATGTCTGAACTTTGGACACGGCACTCGCAACTGCAACATCAAGCCACGCTGTAGCAACTGCGCTCAAGAACACGCCACTTCCAACTGCCCTGCGGATGGAGCCGTGGCGTTAAAATGCGCCAACTGTGGTGGTGCTCATCAAGGTTCCGACAGACAGTGCTCCAAACGCGAGGACTTCAAACGCATCCGAAAACAGGCGGCAACTAACAACCAACCAGGACGCAAGAAGTCCCGGCATTTCGGACGGAGGATTTCCCGCCCCTTCGTGCTCCTCAGCAAAGGCAAGTGAATTCGCGGGTGCATTCCGCTCAAGCAACTTCCGGTGATTCTGCTGGCCAAAGCTCTCCATCCCCCCCTGGATTCTGGAGACAACCAACAGCGCAAAACAACAACCCCGATCTGTTCTCAGCGAATGAACTGATGGAAATCTTCGTCAACATGTCCGGTGCTCTTCGTAAGTGCCGCAATAAGCCCGAACAGATCCAAGTGCTCGGTAAGTTCATCATCCAGTATGGCGTCTAAACCGCTAACTATCGTCACCTGGAATGCTTGCTCTGTAAGAGCAAAAGAGATTGAGCTTGCCGACTTCCTCCGCAAGCACAGCATCGACGTGGGCCTTCTAATCGAGACCCATCTAAAGGCCGGCAACAGCTTCTGGTTACCTGACCACAACATTATCCGGCTTGATCGCACCAGCTCCAGGGGGGGTGGTGTTGCGGTCGTCGTCAAGAAAGGAATAAAATACCACACTCTGTCCCATATTAAAACCACTATCATCGAGGCCCTTGGTGTGGAGGTGGAGTCGTCGACTGGATACGTCCAGTTCATCGCCGTCTACTGCTCTCGACAGTGCGCCAACAGCAGTGGACTAGCGGCTAAATTCAAGAAGGACATTTCCACCATCACCCGTAACGGTTCCCGCTTCGTAGTAGGAGGAGATCTAAACGCTCGCCATGAGGCCTGGCTTAACTACAGGCAGAACCAGAACGGTCGTCTCCTGTTCGACCACTCACAGCATGGGCTGTATTCCGTTTGGTTTTCGGATGAACCAACATTCATCTCACCGGCGGGCAACCCATCGACGCTAGACCTTTCCTGACAAATATCGGCTTGTCCAAGCCGGTAGCCTTGAACGAACTCAGCTCCGACCACCAGCCGCTGGTGGCTGATCTCGGCTGCAACGTGGCTCCTGCTTCAAGCCTGCGCAAGGACTACCATCGCGTAAACTGGGCCCAGTTTGGACGCGTGGTAGACAGGCACATCATCGACAACCCGCCGCTTGACACCGTGGAGGACATCGACCGAGCGTTGGAGGGACTCCACCAAGCCATAACCGTGGCTGACGAGGCGTGCGTCCGACGAGTTCCTGTGAGGGGTAAGTTTATTGATATTGATTCCCACACCCAACTCTTAATTCGCCTGAGAAATGTTCGTAGACGCCAGTTTCAGAGGTCTGGAGATCAAGCGATGAAACGTGAAATGGCCGATCTGAACAAGGAGATTGCTTCCAGAATGGTCTCACTCCGGAACGAAAGTTTCGGGCGGCTTGTCCAGAATGTGGACGACCGCTCCAGACCATTCTGGAAAGTTGCCTCGGTCTTAAAGACCCACCCTAAACCCATTCCGCCACTCAAAGATGAAAATGATGACGATCGGCTCATAATCACCCCTCAGGAGAAAGCAAATGCGATTGGTGAGCATATTGCCAAATCGCACTT